ACTAAGTAGCTAGCAGCTCTCACTTTTACAGGTGGTTACGACATTTGTCAGGGGCCACGCCCAGCAAGTTGGCTTTACCAGTCCCATCGATGTCACATCGCTGCAGCGTCGCAACTCTTCTGCCGGTGCTTTTTGCCTAATGCGCAAGCTACTGCAGCAGGCAGATCTGTCATTCAGCGGCTTGAAGTTACCAGGTTCCCAAGGGTTGGCGGCTTTGCAATGTTCGCTGCCTTCAGAGCTGGCTCCAGCAATGGTTCGCAAAGCCACCAGCCAAACTCTTTAGCCCACCAACCCTCAAGCCAGACATCGCTAGGTTACCTCTCTGCCATTCAGCGGCCTGAAGTTACCAGGTTACCAAGGGTTGGCAGCTTTGCCATGTTCGCTGCCTTCACAGCTGGCTCCAGCAATGGGCCCAGGGCATTCGCAAAGCCACCGGCCAAACTCTTTAGCCCACCAACCCTCATGCCTCACTTGGTCTTTGTCAGCCAACCACTCTTTCCATTTTTCCTCTGCCTCTTCACCTCCAGCCACTCCCCTTCCCACATCATCTCTCCTTCGGCCTCGCTCCTCACTCCAACCCGGCTGCGATAAGAAACCTTGAACTTGTGGATGCAGAATTTCAACTTTGTTCCATCCTTCTTTGCTGCATTGCGCTCCTTCACAAACTGCTTGACAAGCGCACTATGTTGCTTCGGGTCATCTCTTTCCATAGCGGCAATCTCCTCCGTCATGTTCTGTCGCTCTGCCACTCTTCTCAAGCTCCTGCGGTCATTGAAGCATTCCTTACAGGAAGCCTGCTGATCGTTGAACTCATCTAGCTCTTTCCAAACAGTGCACTGCTTGCATTTTCTCCAGCCGCCGTGATCACCTTTGTTCTTCAGAATGCGCTTCTTGACGGCTTTCGTTTTGGGTGGTGTCTTGGCTTTTGCCTTGGCCTTGACCTGAGGGTTGGCAGCACGCTTTCCCTTTTTTCCCACCGCCGGTTCCTCTTGGCTTACCTCCTCCTCATCTTCTTCTGCGCCGGCCATAAAGTCAGCAACATCTTGGGCTGCGTCCACAGCTAGTGACAATGGGCTGTCTCACTGCCAAAAGCTGATTGGTGCGAGGCATGCGCGGCGACGCGATCGAGCGAAGCGAATTTTGAAACTTCGGAAAAGAAACACCAAGGATCTCTGGTAAGCATGGGTTTCAAGTTCACAGGAACTAGAGATGAAGAAGATAAGAAAGATCCAAAGGATGCATTGTGCATTAGTTTGGTAATGGTTGATCAGGAAAGCAAGTTTGTTCATGCAATTCCCGTACCATCCAAAGAAGTTACCGGTTACTTAGTGGAAAAGGTATGCAGAGTTTTGATGTTGTTTGAAAAGAAAGTCATCCTACGAACAGATACAGAACCAGCTACGTTGGCCCTCCGAAGAAAAGTTCAATTGGTACGAAAGTTGAGTGAGCTAGAAACCGAGGTTCAGGATGCGTCACCAGACGAACATCAAGGGTTACAAGTTGAAAGATGGGTTCAGACTGTTAGGAACTTGTCCAAGACGTTGGTCTATGGAGTTGAATCGCAAGCAAATGTGAAGATTACGTCTGAAAGCACGTTGTATCCACGGGTAGCCAAACATGCAGCATTTGTGCTGAACAGGTTTGTGGTACACAAAGGAAAAACACCTTTTGAAGTGCTATTTGATAGAGAGTATAAAGGATCATTGGCACCGTGGGGAAGTTGTGTACTTGCCCGACCGTTACCAAAGGTGAAAGAAAAGGGAGAACCGTGGATCAAAGGAATTTTCGTTGGAAAAGACGCAGTTTCAAACATGAACCTGGCGTCAACGCAAAAGGGGATCGCGAAAGCAAGAACAATGAGACGTTGTACGCCAGAGTACGAAGTGGAAGCGCTGATGGACGCGTGTGGAACGCCTTGGAATTTCGAACAAAGGAACATGGTTCCGAGAAAGAAACAACGAAGGTTACCGCCAGGACGAGGTATCGAGATGATCGGAAACGCGCCGTTGCCGAAGAGTAGTCCAAGTCAGATCGCAGGTTCCGACCCAACAAGCAGTGCACCCTCAGGAAGAGATGGTGGAGTCGGAGACGACGATGATGACAACGACGACCACGGACCCGAAGACCCAGGAGAAGGAACGAGGTCGGATATAAGCAGCATCATTCCTAGTTTGAAAGGATCGGAAGATTCAGTGACAGCCTTCAACACTGCAAAATCACAAAATTCTCCTATTCAAAAGGGGCAGAGCTAAGTGAGAGAAGGGCAAGGTCGCCAACTCTCACCACTGCAAAGGGCGGCAAACTACCTTCAAGACTCCACTCCTTGGGGAAGGCACACTAAGGAAGGGCACCCACTATCCAAAGGGCCAGAAGGGAAACACCATCACTGTCCCATCCTAACGGCGGGCCTACCCCTGGTCAACGCGCAGGAAGCGTTGCGCGATCATATTCTAAAGGGCCTGGCAAAACGCTTGGCCCCTTTTAAGAGGTCCTAAAACAGGGAAAACCTCCAACTCCTGCACCTGAAACCTTGCAGCAAGTTTCCCGCGGAAAACTGCGGCCTCTGGCTGGGTTTTGCACATCTCACCTAAAGCCTAGCATCACAGCCTTGCTCTCACTGGGAGGCTCTTTGCTCATCCTAAACCCAAAAGGCGGATCCTAAACCCCCAAAGGGAGGCAAGTAACCGAACCTGCCGTCCTGCAACTGACTGGGTACCACCAGCTGACGAAACTGGCAAAAACTGTCATTCTTCAAGACAAACCAAAAGGCCCTACTTAAACCCAGAAAAGCGGCCTCAAAACGCCTAAAGGGCATCCTCCTGAAGGAGGTGGGTAGCAGTGGACCCCATCTACCCGGTCAAAGGCAGAAGGCGAGGCAGCACCTATAGCAACTGCTAAACAACCCTGCCAGGGAGCAACACCAGGGCAAGTACTACCTCAAGCCCTAAAGCGAGGTGTTGCTTACAAGCCCTGACAAGCATGTCTCTTCCAAGAAAGACGAACTGCTCAGTCTCCTCCCTTAGGAGAGGCCAAAATGCAAATGCAAGTCTAGCACCACGCAGCGACTTCACAAGGCAAGTACTACAGGTTCCTCAGCCCCAAGGCGAGGCCGCTACAGTGCTTGGACTGGCCCAACTGACTCTGCCTCATCCCTGAGAGGCCCACACGCAAATGCAAAACTCCTATAAAACAACCTGCTGTAAAGACTGCTACCTCGCCCCGACCAACTTTGGAGCAAAAGTCAGTCGCTAACTCTGGCTAACCTGCCTGCAGTTGCTGGTCTCTGCAGGCCGCGGTCTAACACAGCAAAAGGCGTTAGCTGGAGGCACTCTCTCTGTGTCCACTCTTTTGGCACTCTCTGTGCCCTGCCACGCTAGTGCAAAATTGGCAAAAAAGGGAAACACATGGAAAAATGCGCACGCCTTGCCGCAAAACATGTACTGCAAAAACTCCATGGCTACTCTCTCTGCATGCCACGCAGGAACTGCACACTACGCAACTACAGCTCCCACCCCCTACAGGCAACAAGTAGGGCCACTGTTCTTGAGCACTCGTGGCTTAAGCCAGGTCATACTTATCATTTACGCGTGGCGAGAAGTCCGCAGCCGGTGGCTGTGTCCCCTCAACCTAGCACGCAAACTAATTAGCCAGCTACAGCTGACCTGGGGTGCCTAGATTTCCTCGATTGAGGATTGGCATGCAATTGCCTCAGCCCCAAGGCGAGGCCTGCATCTCACAGTTGAGAGGCTCGGCACACCTAGCACCTACGACTAAGGCGAGGCGCCAAGTAGCGAAGGAAGCTATGCTCTAAAGAAGCGAGGTGTGCTGAGGCGCAAGCAAATTGATGGCCTCATCCTTGGAGGAGAGGCCTTGGCAGACAGGCATTGCGCGACAGGCATTGTGTGAAAGCAGCTAGTGGAGTTGCAGCTGCAGAGTTTTATGCCGTAATTCCCCATAAGCAGGGGAGTGAGGTCACTGGGGTCGCCTGCTTGAAGCTGCTCAACGCTTGTGCAAAATGTCCCTGCTCTCAGGAGGTAATCTGGTGGCGTCAGCAGCTTCTCTGTTTTGAGAATCTCCACCTCGAAGACTTGGGTCTCTCCCTCTATTTTTGAAACTTACGAGCCATCGACCGGCTTTGGTGTCTTCGGGAAAACTTCTGCCAGCCGGGCTGCCGCTTCAAGCTCACATCCCCGTGATTTTCAGGGAGCGAGCTTCAACACTGAATCCCCGTCGTTGGGGTTGGAGTAGACAACCCTTGTCTTTCCATGGCCAAGCCTGTGGCATGCTTTAGGTGTGAAAAGCAGAGTCACGCAGTCGGTTTTTCACTTGAGCCAAAACACAGAGTTTGGTCTTCGCTTCAGAGCTGGCTAGCTCGCCATGGGAACTGCTATTCCCGAATTCTTTGCTCAACATTGTTAAACAATGGAGACTTCCGCAAAACACGCAAAAGACTTCTCAAGGCTTTCGTAAAGTCACCAAACACCTCCAAAAACCTTGCAAGCACTCTAGGAGCGTAGTGAAAGCTTCACGGAGCGAGCGGTGCTCCAAAACACAGCAAATTCAGCAAATGGAGCTGAGGCAATTTAGGGATGCCCCTTTCACAAGAGTTCCTTCACGGGCACTCTCCAAGCTGCTCCAAAAGCATCATGGCACAAGACAACGTGTTCAAACATGCTCCAAACATGGCAAACACCCTGACATGGTTTCAACCTTGCTCATGACAACTTCATGCTCCCAAAACAGGTTCCTACTCAAGTCAAACATGGTACATGCAAAAACAACCTAATCATGCTCATGGCGTGTCAAAACACTTTCTCATGTAACATGCAGTGACGGAGTCACGTAAAACATACAAGGCACTGTCGGGGCAAAAGGACAGGTCAAACTTTCACACCCCCTCACGCACCGTCAGTCCTAGGTCCTGAGCACCTTCTTGGCGGTCGCAAGAAGAGCATTTCCAAGTCCCTTAGGATACACTCCTGACGCTTTGGAGGCCTGCTTCACGTGTTCATGGTCGTTGCTACACTCATAACCTGAAAACTCCCTCACCCAAGAAGTGCTATTAGACACAAACCACCACCTTTTAAAGTACCGCTTTTCTCCCTTCTCAAAACAGCATCTATCCACAACACAGCCCTGAAACAACTTCAAGTCCCTAGACGCCTTCTTAAAGACATCCTCATGCCACAAACTGGACCCTCTCGGCCATTCGTGCGTCAGCAAGAGGCGGCTGTGCTCAGAATACTGCCTAAAAAGGTCTTTCAGCACTTTCCAGGTCATTTTATGCATTTTCAGTTGCTTTCTCCACTTTTCAGCAAGACCCGGGATCTTACGAAGATTCACATGTCTAAATCCGCAACCTGCAGTACACGGCGTAGACAAGTGCGCAAAAACAAGAAGCTCTGAGCTCTCGGCCAAAATCACCCCAAGTAACTTCCGGATAAGCGAAAACGTTTTCCTACTCGAAAGATTAACTTCTTTAGTCACTCCAAAATAGGCCACATCTCGCTTTCCTTCGCAAGCAAGAGCTAAAGCACTCTCAGCCTCACAGCACAGCTCAAAGACAACAAACTTCGCCTTTCCCGCAACAAGCTTCACACCAGCTTCTCTCCAAGAAGAGGGGATCTCAAAGTCCTCGTATCCCTCAACCTCATAACAGAGAGTATCATTGGTATTGGGCTCTTTAAAAGTAACTTTCTTCGGAAAAGCTACTGAAGGCTCATCAGACTCTTCCAGATACTTAGACCACTCCTGAGGCTCTTCCACTAACCCACAGGCTTCATAGAGGCTCACCAAGTTCTCCGGCGTCGGAGACTTAGTTAAAGCGTCCGCCGGGTTCGTGACCCCTGGGATATGAGACAAAGTAAACCGACCCCTAGCCACTAATTGTTGAAGGAATGCCGCACGCAGCTCTATATGTCGCACTTTGCGCAATAGAGAGGTCATTTGGGCAACACAAATGGCACTTTCAGAGTCGGAAAAAGCTCGAAGAAGATATCGACCCTCTTCAGAATCCTCAGGGACACCTTCAAGTAGTGTTTGGACTAAAAGAGCGATATAGAGTCCCTCCTTGGCGATCTCAGTAAGGGCACACAATTCTGCCTCTGCACTAGACAACGCCACAGTCACTTGCTTTCTCGAAAATGACTTGATGCAGCAGTTGTCCCAGGTTAGTACCCCTCCACTAGTGGAATGGACTCCCCAACTAGCATCAGTAAAACAGGTAACAGACTCACGGTCAAAATCCTCCTCCAAGATCTCCCGCGTAGACGGAAAAACTTGCACTTTGCGGGGTAATCCCGAAACCCAGCGCAAAACATCGCGCATACATTGCTCAGCGGCACAGTTGGGGGCCGCTTGATGTCTTCCAAGGAATCCCACAACATATTGGAGGTCTGGTCGTGAAAGAGCAGCCCAGGCAATACGTCCAAGACACCGCCTATACTTTTCATGCGCAGCAACACTAATTAGTTCCTCGTTCCCAACCTTCTTAAGCAACTCAGCATACCTCCTCTCGAGAGGTGGGAGCTTGGCAGAGGATTTACTGATATTGTACTCTTCGCAACATGATTCCAGATACTTTGAGTCAAGACCAAAGTACACACGGTTGTCCCCTTTACGGCGCCGAAAGATCCGGCGTCCAAGGAAGCTAACTTCACCTGGCTGTTTTTCAAAGAGCTCACCTGTTTTCTTCAGCTTGTACCTTTTCTGAAGATCCTCAAACACTCTACGTGCGTCTGAGGAATCCTCGGCCCAAATCAAAAGATCATCCACATAAAAGAGAACAATCAAGAGACCCTTCTTGCCCTTCCTACGAAAGATCGTGGGGTCCAAAATCTGGGAAAAACCTTCAGAAGCAAGGTACCCGGAAAGTTCCTTATACCACGACAACGGGGCACTCCGTAAACCATTCATGGCTCGCAGAAGTCGCAGAAAAACTCTGTCCCCATTAGTTCTGGTAATGTTGGAAGGAAGTTGGACGAACTCTGGTCTCGCTATCTTAGCATGCATGAAAGCTACCGAAACGTCACATGACATCATGGATCCACTCCGGCAAAGAACACTCAACAGCAGTCTCAAGCCTTCAAGGGAAGTGGTGGGGCTATATAACCCTTCAGATAACGTGGTACCACCACATGAAGCAAAATCCCGAACCACGAGACGGCTTCGGTAAAGTCCGGGGCGTTTCACGGTGTTCACCCAGCGACAGCTGAGCACCCGCCTTCCGCACTTCTTCGCTTCTGAACGAGCTTCCCGCTCACTAACCACTTCTCCAACCTTAAAGCTCTCGAGCTCCTTAAGCTCAAGCTCCATGGACTGTTGCAACAGACTAGGTTCAAGAACTTCTCCGGAGGTTTCGCTTACGGCGCGCTTAGGTACAACACATCGAACACGACTCTTACCAAATGGCATTTCAAAAGAACTGGCAACTTCGGTGTTAGCTCCCCGAACACGAAGGTCCGGTCCAGCACACAAGCTGTTCAAGCCTTGCTCAGTCATATGCCGAATGGCCGCATCAAGCTCTCCTTCCGTCTCAACATCACCAACGTTTCCTTCCGATGGCTCGTATTCATCAAGATCCGGAGGCAACTCGGCAGCATCTGCCATCGGCATCTCTTCATCCGCAACTAACTCGGGCTCAGCTTCACCCTCGTCCTCAACAGCCGGGGCCTCAGACGGGTCCGGCTCAAGCGGTTCAAAGAGAATTGGGGCCTCCGGGTCAGATACATCAACAGCCAAAGGATTAAACTCAGCTATGGCAGAAATGTTATCCCCCTCATAGACGTAATCGTCCCGTTCAAGCACCTAGTCGGCAAGCCGGAAACACTCCCACATCCGCGGAATCAACAGGACAAGCGAACACACCGCCACCTCTGGGGTGGACAGGTCCAAGGTAAACTGCTTTCACAGTGTGCCTTCCCCGGAACCTTTCAGCATGGGCCTTGGAGCCGGAGGTTTTCGCATGAACCAAACAGCCAAATGGCAAGGCGCGTGTCCGATTCACAATGGCCTCATGGACCCTATCCAAAGGAGTCGTTCCATCCTCTGGACTCGAACACCACAAGTTGTTCACCCGGCAACAGTACAACAAAGCCGTCTGCCACAACAAGCCACCCAGAGGAACCTTCTGGCCGACTTGTTTCTCTAGGTCAAGCCACATCGCCCAAAACGACTGCTTGGTAACTGCAACTTGCCTCTCAATGCGGCCCTTGGCTTGGGGCCTGTATCCCGGAACCACATCTATGATGGCTCGAGACACCTTCGAGAACTTAGCCAGATGCTCAACTAAGTTTATGACGCCAGACTCATTATCACAACGGAGGGTCACGGTTTTACCCTGAAGGCCGACTTCACGGATGCACCGGTTAAAATTATAATGAACGGTCTTCTCGTACAAATCAATCGCAGGAATCACCAAAATGTAGTTCATAGACACATGAGACAACAAGAGAACCCTGAGCTTCCCGAAATACAGAAAATCAAGGCCAACAGTCTGATCCTCTTGTTGATGTTTCCGTCTTAGGCGCCTCGCAGGCACCCTTCCACGAGCAGAACAGCAGGAATCACAGTTCCTATCATAGGGACAGTGGCCATGCGCTTGGTGCACTCTCAACGCAACTGACCTCAACGGAATCCTATCAGGCTCATGTGGCTTGGCATTTCCTCCATCAGGCGGAGGATCCAATGGTGATGAAGGCTCAAGAGCCTCAGGAGGCGCAGGTGAGTCATGGGGTACATGTGGAAGCCCACGTACAAGGTGTTTTTCCCATGAAACTTTTTCTTCACCCACTTTTTCATCCTTGGCTCTAACAAGTTGGAGCTCGGCTGTTAAGATGCCATCATTGCCCATCATCAATGGCAAACTCAAGGCATCACACCATGCACAACCAAACATGCCCAACATGACCAATCCAAAAACCTTCAACACCAATCCAAACATGCGTGTCAAAAGACTCAACAGCTTCACACCAACACCGCACTCACATGAATGCTCCAAACTACACTCTTCAAAATCCTCATGATTTTCACGAAGACCCTCATGCACATGACCTACTTCATGATCATCATGCAAATCCGTGCATCCACCAAAAATCGTGCGTGACATCACTTCAACTCGTTTCCAGCAATGCACATGACAAATCCTAATGGTGGGGACCTTCGGTATAACACGTGACAGTCTCCTTCGTCTCGGGTAAGCCCTTTGGGGAAATAACATCTTCAAGCTTCTTCGGAGGGTACTTGTATACCAAAACAGCTCGCTGACAAGCCCCAAAAACCTGGCAACGAAAACTACCAAGGTTCCTACAAGCCCTCCTAATGCGACGCAAAGACCACAGCCTGCGAGGTCGTGAGTGAAGTCTCTCATCTCACCAGACCTGGGGCCGTGGACAGGCGCAGAAAGGTTCACCCCCTCACCGACTAACGATCGGGGGTAAATGTTACACGGCAGACCTTGAGGGAACAATCTAGCTTCGGCTTCAGGACCTGCTTCTGCATCACATTCCCAGAATCTCTTACCATGCTCAGTCACACGCCTGCCATGAAAAGACACATGTCCAACATGAAAACCCACATGTTTAGCATGATCATGCATGGCAACTCGTGACGACATGACATGCAACGTGGCACAACTTTTTGCGTGAAGACATGCAAGTCCAGCAGCTGCTAGAAAAACTCGGGCATTTCTTAGAAAATACCAGGTTGTGGAACTTATTCCAAGGTTCCCGTTGGCGTGCCCGCAGCGGCAGTACCACCTTCTGAAATCGGATCGGATGGCAATGCTTCTGCAGGTGTGGCAGGCGTGATGTCCATTGGCGTGCCCGCAGCGGCAGTACCACCTTCTGAAAGCGGATCGGATGGCAATGCTTCTGCAGGTGTGGAAGGAATTTCTCCCGAACTCAATGGCATCAAACTGCGGGACCGAGCAATAGCACGATCTGCTCCTGCTAGCAACAATCCTCCTTGGAATTGAAGGGTCACATCCGTCATATTCGGAGTAGACGGCAGAGCCTTTGATGAAGGAACCACGGGCACACTTGGAGGATTCGGAAGGCCAAGATCGGCCGGAGTCAATGGTACCGATGTAGACTTCGGAGTAACCGGGGTAACCGCAGCTGGCGGCATGTTGATCTTTGCAAATCCCGGCGAGGGAGTGGAAACAGTCCCCTTTGAAGTTGCCATCTCCTTTACCGACGTAATTGGCGTCACCGAAGTATCTGGCATGGCCACCGGAGGAACCGGAGCACTCGGAATACTCAGTTTTGGCGGTGGGCCTCGAGGACGACATCCTTTTCCAGGCATAGGCTTGATAGGAGGTGGGGTAGGAGCCTTCGAAGAACCAGAAAACCTTGCAATTCTGGCTTGCGTGATTCGCTCCTCCATACACTCCGATAACAGCCTGTGGGCTTCGCGGACTACCCGAGCACTGGCTACCCGGTTTCCGACCCTCCTCGGGTCTAAATCGGGCTCCGTGGCCTGAGGGTACTGCTCTCGAAAGTCGGGCAAAGTTCCAGGTGCTAGACTTACCCAGCTTTCAAAGAACCTTTTCAATCCGCCCACCGCTGAAAGCGTCTCGATGTTGGAGCTCTGTTGGTACGCCGATATAAAATCTACCATACGGTAGCCCCTGTCCCAAAGGGCCTCGCCGTTGCTGCTGTTCAACAGGAAAAGGGCACACTCGTCCTCTAGGTTGTCCGTGAGGCAACCAACAGACATTTTCTTTGCCCCTTTTGCAACTGTTGGGTGGCTGGTATCGCTTGTGCAAGGCGCAGCTACCCAGACACTCTGGTCCATTGGGTACAAGGCAAAGTCCGTGGCCTGGAGGAGCCGCTTCCTTTCCGGAGCTCCAAGGGTACCAATAGCATTGCGCTTGACACCACAAAAGACCGGAATCTCGCGGCAAACCCTTGAGATTTTCTCGGCGCCAATTTCCACCGTGATGAGGCCGATCGTCCAATGAGGTCGCTACCATAGGCTTGTCCACCAGGACGGGTCGAGGGACGAAATGGCCGCCCCGGAGCACATTTTCCGTCACAGACGGCGGACCAGGGACAACTTCTATGTTGAGGGAGTGGCCTCCAACATAGGCTTGGACATCCCTCACCTGGCGTGAACTCTCGAGGTAACTGATAACAGCCCAAAAACTGCCACTCATGCCGTTGTCGGCAATGAGTTCCAGATACACCCGCTCCAATGGTTCCTCCAGCAAATCTGGATACGCCGTCCGCAGGGTGTGTTGGAACCCATATTCCTTGAGTAAGGTACACAAGGGAGGATAGTCCTCCAGAAGTGTCCTCACAGAAGACACGATGGCTCTTACCACGAAACAACACCAACAAGAAGATCAAAATCCACAACTGCTGCAGGCGGTTCATCAGCAATGCTTTCATGAATGGTCTGCGAAATCCCTTCCGCTTCACTTCAACCTCAGGCCGGGGCGGTCCAGAACATGCAAGACACGTCCTGGCACTAACGTACTTGCCGACAAAGCCTGGCAGATATCTGGATCTTAGTACTCGTGCTGGCGCTGTCCACTCTTTTCTTCCAAAACAAAACGTGGCACATGTCAGGATCCCCTTACACATGTCCATGCAAAATGTCCATGGTGCAACAAAGATACATGTCAACCATGAGAAAACATGCTGCAAATCCAGGTCATGCCTCCTAACATGGTCATGCTTCATGGCAAAACCTGTGTCACACACACCATGTTCACGCATGCTTCCATCAAAAGATTTCTCAAAACCTTCATGGCCGACATGACAAACAACATTTTCACGCATAGACGCGCAAGTTCCTTCAGAAAACTCCAAGCACTCATGAAAAACCTCAAGATAATCATGTCCAGTCATGGGTTCCCACATGCTCGTGTCTTCGGGACACTCCCGACAATCATGGAAAACACGATCAACATTCACAACCGGTTCCTCATACACCCTAAGACCCCTAATCAGAAAAGCAAACGGGCTACTATCCAAAGCGCGCCGGCTTTCCCGGGTCGTTGCCGTATTTCTCGGCGGCACAGTCTCCAACGGAGAAGGGGATTCCTCATGCTTAAGAATTCCTGCAGGAGGAGTTGAGTTCGAAGTCCTGCGAGCTGCATCAAGATCCATATCAGTAGAACTTCCGCCGCCTCGAGGCTTGCGTTTAGACTTCTTCGACTGCCTACTGATGGCCCACCAAGCCCGATTCAAACCCTCCAGGCGCAAATTGCGCTTGCCTTTGAAGAGCCTCGAGCCCGTTTTAAACAGATGGGTTCTCCAACCTTTCTCGGCAGCCGCCCAGGGCGAGATAGCATTGAAGCCCACGTCCGCAACGAGAACTTCCTCAAGAACCAGACACAAGTTCCCAAAATGAAACTCAATGTCCACAATTCCATGCACCTTGATCTCACCTCCAGAGGCATTGTAGAGAGTTACTGGCCGCTCGCGGCGCTTCACTACTCGAAAGCCTCCTAAGAAGTCGGTGGCAATGATATGGCAAGTGGCTCCAGAGTCCACAAGCCACACATCCCTAGCTTCTACCTCATGAATTGCACAGACTCTCTTAACGTCCTCGCTACTGCAGAGACTACCAATCGTCCCCAAGAAGTTGGTGTCTTGTGAAACAAAAACCGACGAAGTAACCGCGGGCTCAGGCTCACTATCCCTCAGAACACGACCAACACCTGAAAGTTCTCCGTTCTCACACGGGTCAAACCTAACCCTCAAGGCCATTGCCGTGGCCTTCTTCGGAGTTCCAGGGGCCGAACTTTCGGCTTCGCTCTCGCTTGTCTCTCCAGCTGAGCGTACTCGTTGGCCTTTCTTCTTCTTCTTCTTTCCTTTTCCTTTAGGCTGCTCGCCTTTGCCCTTGTCGCCTTTTCCCCCACGAGGTGTGTCTCCACCTTTTCCTTTTTCGCCTTTCTTGCCCTTGCCCTTTTCGCCTTTTCCACCTTTCGATGGAGAGCCCTTTTCATCTTTCTTCTTCTGCCAGCAATTCTCCTTCTTGTGGCCTTTCTTGCCACAGTAGTCGCACAACACCTCACTCGCTGCACGAGTATGGCCAGGAACTTCGCACAGACGAAGCTGTTCTTCAAAGAACTTCAAAGATGCAGTCAGGTCATCCCATGTGCTGGTCTTACCACGCAGTACCACATACTGCCTGGCTTCGGACGAAATAGCTTGCAAAAGCAAGGTACACTTGTCCGCTGGAGAGAGCCGCAAATCAGGAAAGTTCCCTAACTTCGACTCAGCTTTAGCCAGCTCATCTTCCAGATGCCTAATGATCTCCAGAGGCTTTCGCAGGTGGTTGCAGTGCTTATGCAACGCCAAGGCCTGGTCTCTCACGTGAACGGCCTCCATTCTTGACACTATGGAGTAGTTCATGTGGATGGTGCGCACTACCTCGTAGCCAGCTGCAGACATGTCTTGTCTCTTGCTGACACTTCGAAGCAGTTCCAGACCTCTCTCCCACTTTGCCAACGACTGTCCCAGGTAGTAAAACAGCTTTGCACTTCTCGCAGCAACGTCCTTTGCCAGTTTGGCCTGCACGATCTCGTGAGGATGCCTCAACGCAAGGCGAAACTCGTTCACATACGCCTCGTCTATCAAGGCAAGCCAAGAACTGTAGACCTCAACAAAACGATGCCACTCTTCAACTTCCTTCATGCGACTTTTTCCCATCGCTCCATGCTGCAAGGGGGGCCGCGGAGGAAGGTACTTCTCTGCTCTGTTTCCCGAAAAAACAACTGTTCCTGTGTAGGTAGGAACAGCACCGGAAGAAGAACTACCAGTCTCCGGGCCAGCAAACGGGTCAAGCAACACTGTAGTTACTGCTTCAGCAGCCTTCTTTGCAGCTGTTTCCTCGTCCTTACGGCGCTTTTCTTCTTCAGCTCGGCGCCTGTCTTCTGCGTCCATGCGATGAAGCATTGTCTGCACCAACATTTGGTTCTGTTGGAGCATTTGCTGCTGCAAAACTTCCGCGCCAACTGTGTGAGTTGCAACTGTAGGCGACTGCAACGACCCTATTCCAAAACTGTTTGGCTGAGTCGCTGCAGGAGAAGCCGTTGGCCCCACAGGACCAAAAAGGTTTGTAGGCACCATTGAACCATGTCCAAACAAGTCAAACTCTTTCTACTCAGTTGTCTCAGGCGCCGGAACGTTTTGTGCAGAGACTACATTTTTTGCTGGGCTTTGTTGCGGGCTTTGGCAAGTTGAGGCACGTGAAACATCTGAGTGCTCCGCTACCATGTGTAAAGTAGAGTCACGCAGTCGAATCTTTTTCACTTGACAGAGTTTGGTCTTCGCTTCAGAGCTGACTGCTCGCTATGGGAACTGCTATTCTCGAATTCTTTGCTCAACGTTGTTAAACAATGGAGACTTCCGTAACATGCAAAAGACTTCTCAAGGCTTTCGTGTCACCAAACAGCATTCAGCCACAGGCTCTCTACACACCTCCAAAAACCTTACAAGCACTCTAGAAGCGTAGTGAAAGCTTCACAGAGCGAGTGGTGCTCCAAAACACATCAAATTCAGCAAATAAAGCTGAGGCAACTTAGAAATGCCTTTCACAAGTTCCTTCACGGGCACTCTTCAAGCTGCTTCAAAATCATCATGGCACAAGACAACGTGTTCAAACATATTCCAAACATGGCAAAACACCCTGACATGGTTTCAACCTTGCTCATGACAACTTCATGCTTCCAAAACAGGTTTCGACTCAAGTCAAACATGGTACAGGCAAAAACAACTTTCTTATGACACGCAGTGACGAGTCACGTCAAAAAAACAAGGCACTATCAGCTAGGACAGGTTATTACATTAGCGGAAAGCCACAGTTGGGCGTTTTGGCAGCGAGACTCTTCTACTTGAACCCTCTGCAGGAATCCTTCCGTTTGAAAAAAGGTTTCCTTTCTTTTTATTCTACTGCCTAGTAGCAGTCCTCGTGACCGAGAAGCTGGCAGGTCCTCTGAGAGTCGCATGCAAGCCGATAGAACAGTTCGGTAGCAGCTTTGACAAGGCCGCATTGCTTCTTTCAAATTCGAGAAAAGCGTTATATGGCGCAGCATGTCAGCTAGAAACCGCCTTTCTATGCTTTGCGAATATGTGTAACAAGGCTGGCATGCAAGACTTCGACGCACGCACTTGAAGGCATCTACCGCGCAATCTAACATTTCTCAATTCGTGACGTTATGTATGTTGCACGCCAGTCTGTATGGACATGTCAGAGGCCCACATTACTTCAGTGTCTTGAGGAAGTCTGCTGTTTGAGGCGCATTTTGTCTCGAAGTTGGCATGTCGGATACTAGATGTATGGTTAATTGAAATAAAGCCCGCATATATACCGTACAGACCTCGTACATCCAACGTGCTGGCACGTTCATCTGGCTTTTCTGAGACATTGGAGTGTAACCAGGTCGAATTCCAGCCGGCGAGCACTCTTGGCCCGAGAACGCGGGCCAAAGGACCTTAAAGTGCTTTAAAGCTCTCTTAAAGCTCCCTTTAAAGGTATTCTTCAAAGTTTAAGCTTCAAAAGGGAACTTAAAAAGCGGCTTTTAAGGAACAGAGACTTAAAGGGAAGCTTTAAGGGAAACTTAAGGGAAGCTTACAAGGTGGAACCTTTTAAGTAACTAGAAGCTGCATGTGATCATTCTTGACTATACCATGCAAATTGAGCTTTAGAGTTTCTTTAAGCCGCGGTTTAAGGCTTGCGGGTTGATTTGAATCCTAATCTCTGAACCTTTGGCCATTGATCCCATATATTCTTGATTCTTGACAACTCAAGGGAGACAGGCAAGATATCTCCTAATATAACCCTAATATAATCCCAATAAAACCCCCATATAGCCCCAAAGTTAGCTTTCTTAGTTCCTCTTTGAGGTTCCCTTTAAAGCCCTCAGACCCTCTAAAGGCTTTCTTTGCATTCTTTCCCTCCTCTCTCTTGAAGGTCTACAAAGAGTTCTCTTTAAGTCTCTTGAAAGTCCTTTAAGTTCCCGTTAGATAGTCTTTGTTGAAAGAGTTGCGAGTTCAGCTCCAGCGTCGCAGTTACTGACCAACACAAGGCAAAGTGTCTATGCACCTGGCAGCAGTCTCAAGGCGTCGTTTGTAGGACAGAGAATTAAAATAAACCTTTGCGCCAACTCAATTCGACTTTGCGCGTCAGCGCAAGTGCGGCCTCCTGCTCTGCTCTGCCAAGTGTGCTCGCTGTAGTTCATTCTCTGACTTGCAAGTTGGAGTTTTTCTGACCAAATTTCCTCTTTAGTAACAGCTGTAGGACGGACAATCGAACAAGCTTCAAGCTTGAAGCAGCACTTACGCTCACTCATTTCTGTGACAGTTTTACCGTGACGGACAACGATGGCAGTGTGTTGGAGGCCTCACAGGAGAGTCGGCCAGGTTGCAGCCTTTCCAACACTTGAGTGCAGTTATCACCTTTTCTCAAATACGTGGAGACAGATCTCGTCACGAGTGCGCTCCAACTGTGTTCTGTTTACAGCCTAAATGCTGGTCCGCGCTTCATATCAGAGTTCCGTCATTTTGGATCAGACGGACACAGTCACTTTTTTGCCAGCCTTTATGCCTCTTCTGCCATGAATGTCAAGCATTGGTGGTCACCGGCCAGACTCCTTAAGTCTCGTCTCAAGCTCCCTCTGAAGCTCTCTGCTTCAGCTCGGAGCCGCGCCCGAAGAGGCCAGCCCGAAGAGGCCAGCTCCGGCACTAGCAACATCAGCGGTCAGTGTTGTCACAGTGTTCTGCCTACAACAGCCATGTAACTTTGAGAAATAAGCTATCTGAGGTCAAAATGCGGAGGTTTCCAAAATGGTTGGGTCTCTTGCTTTCCAAAAATGTTCTCTCCAGGGGTGACGTTGATTTGTCATAACAATTAACGCTCGCAGGAACCCCAACAGGCCAGCTTGTAATTAAGATTTGGAGGTTCTCCTGACTTCAAGTGAGGCCTTAAGGGGAAAAGAACGCTGTGGGGTGAAACTTCAGGGCCTATGCGCCTATGAGGGGGCTTTACTTCAGTAGCGTCGCTTGCTTCGAAGAGTGGCAAACTACGCAGACGCACGACATGACCCAAGTTGCAAGCTCTAAGATTAAGCGCATTCTGTCGCAGCACTCTGAAAAGCAGCTTCTGCGTTGGCTATCGACTGTCTTGTAGCTGTGGAGCGGCCTTCCGGCCTGAAGCAAGACAATTCGAGGAGTTGCTGAAGCGGTATCTAGCTCTCGACGAGGCCAACACTCTCACGAATCTACATCCGCTCTGCTTTGGCGAGGTTCTCGTTGTGAACTCCACTGTGGGTGTTCAGACTCTTAATCTAAACCAGGCCTCGCGCTTCACCAAGTTGGTTTTGGAGTCTGTCTCCAGCGAGAGTGCGGATGTTGGGACTTGGAGCTCTTCGGCACGTCGGAGGAGGTGAAGAAGCGCATGAACACCGCGTTCGCAGAGTCCCGCGCTCTCTTTTCGGGGTGCTTTGTTCAGAGTGAGCCAGTCGCTGAGCAGTGCTCACGCTGCACGCGCCCACCAGGTGCTCGTATGTGGAAGGCGAGGTCCTCCGTTGAGTTTGGTTGGTTTGAACTTTGGGTGTGTCCGTGTGTGCGTGTTTCCCATGTTTGTGCAACAAGTATCAGTATGCGAACCCTAGCTGCGTTTCTCGCGTCCCGTGGATAATTCCATGTCAATGCTCATGACTGGCAGATTGAACATCCCCGACGGAATAGCGCAGAAGCCGAGCCAGGAGAAGGCGCGCGTGTCAAACCTCCTTTAAGTCACACTGGCTGTTTCATAACAACAGCTAGCAAAGCGGTCAGTCCGATAGGTTGACGCAGCAAGTATTTCACTTAGCAGCATCCGCCTGGTCATCGATCTCGTATGCTTCCAGTGTACCGTTTTGGCAAGCTGTTGAACTGACGCAGCCCTGCATCCAACCGCTAGCAGACCAGTCCGTCTTGCCAGCATCTTTCAGCCCCCACTAAGCTTTCGAATCGTCCACATGTTGGCTTGCGTCACTCGTGCAGACTGTGACGCAGAGCCATGAAGTTGCATTCCAGATCTCATGCTCTGCTAGAACTCAGCTGATTTTTTCGACTGACTCCCAACTTGTCCTGCAGCCAAAGTTCGGCAGAGCCTGCAACCTGAAGGAGTGGCAATACAGAAAACCTCTGCTAGGAGAAACTGAATCAGGTTTAGGCCACAGAGATCTAGTTTTGGGCTGCTCAACCCTAAATATGAATCCTGGTAGCCTTCAAGTCGATGCGGGTCGTCTCGTCAAACTGAGAAGGATGACAACCAAAAGTCCGTCCATGTAAGGTACCAGAATCTGATACTAAAAATCATTCAAAATTCTTTGAGTAATGAAGGTGTGGCATATGCCAGTTCCTGTACCTGTTGTCAGCCGAACCTCATGCAAGCTGCTGCAAGCAATTGAAATTCAACCAGCTGTCAACATAATCATGGGGCCATAGTTCAAATGTGAAAGCGTCCGTAGTCGTTCTCAACCCCGTGTCCTGGACGCACAATCACCCAATGGCAATTTGTTCGTAAATCTGGTGTTGGGGCTGAGGGTCGTCAGCAATGGGAGGCAACGGCGCCAGATGCACCTAGCGCCGCCCTGAAGCGCTGTTGATTTTGGGATTGAGCCTGAGCCAGATATTTCTGGGAAGCGTGAAGCACTTGCCGTGGCCAGCCTGTGGGTAGCTCTTCGGGGTAGGACTTGGCTTCTAGCAGCTGTCCGCTGCGGGCGTCAACAGGTTTCGAGCGCTGGTGCTTAGCTGCTTTGCAATGACTTCCTCGTATACGGTGTTTTGTGAAATTTTCTGAGCCGGGGGGTCTGATGGCCGCAAAAACTTGGAGAAAACATGCATGAGCAGCACGATGAGCATTCCAGTGAGGCGTTTGCGCTGGTCATTAGTGGAACTTGTGGGGTGGATGTTAAATGACCTGTGATTGCGTTTTTGAACTG